TTGTCTTTAATCTCTTTAATTCCACAAAATTATCCTTATATAAATAAAGATTGGATTTTTGAATTTAATTTCTGGATTTGTAGGTATTTTGGAGATTCTGATGGCAACATCAAGGGTTTTAAGATCGAACAAGAAGTACGTCATGTTATACAAATGAAATACACTATACCTTTCTCAGCTTCTCATGGTAAGTAGTACATACATATCAGCTTAAGATTTGAAGTGTGTTAAGCATTATCGTGCATCATAATCTTTTAACAATAAACTTGAGAAGCCTCAAGCCTTACACTTTTGGGAAGTTCTTGTTTACTCTAGTCTAGGCTTGATGACAGTGACATCATTATGCATTCCTTGACTACAAAATCCGCTTAAATGAATAAAGTATGCTACATGATCCATTTGGAGTTTCCTAATGGCTCCTTAGAAACTACTAAGCCAAACTTCAGAGTTGACTGTTTATTTGAAAAACAGAATGCTCTGTGACCTCAGTACTATTCTTAAATTAAATTAATTAATTTATAATTTATAAATATAATAAGTATTAGGATCCAGTTACATTGTGTAAAACTCTTTAGTTTTACATCTTTTCAGTGTCATTGGATTAAGAGAAATCAAAGGTTGAGATTAATTCGTTTTTAGTATCTATGTATTTCCATTTTCATTGCTTTCACTTGTTGATGCCTTTGGTCTAGTGATTCAAATTGCTTTCCTCAATTAACTCTGTCTTTTTTTTATTTAAATTCTTTTCTTACTCCGACGATCTGTGTATTTTTTTATTGCAGGAATATGTTTATAATAGGCTTTCAATTCAGGTTTATTCTTCATAATTTCTCCTATTTTATTCCTTTTAATTTGGTTTTTCTTGACTTTGAAACGTTTCAAATATGGATGATTTTACTTTTATACAACTGATATTGATACGGCTTCAAGGGTTTACTATGAAACATAGGGTATCCATGGAAGACATGTGAAATTATCTGGTGTTCTCATGGGTTCTCATGGACTAACCAAGGGTTCATTGGAAGACATGTGAAATTATTTTTCTTTTGTTTGAAACTTGGAATAAATAAGCAAATGAAGTAGTGACAATTTTATGAATATGGATGATTTGTTTATAGATGGAGATGGTATTTTGCTCAACGGTAGTTGGGATTCCTTTCTTACTGAGCCAATGGTTATAACTAGAGAGATCTTTAAGGCATGGATTCTTGTCTCAAGTAAGCAGCAATACCCTTTTTTTATATATTGATTGACTTCTTTCTTGCACCCCTGACCTCCTGCCTTGACATGGGTCGGGCTGCATAAATAATAAATCTGACATTGAAGATTTAATGTGTTCGGATTCTCATTTCTGTGTTGTCGGGTTTTTTTCTTTCACTTAAGTTTAATGGTTCATATATCTGACATTGAAGATTTAATGCAGAAATCCAAAGGTGAGGAGGCTGGCGAGCACACTCTAGCAATGCTTAAGGTAGAGAAAGAACGACTAGACTCACCACTTCACAATGAGAAATGGTTGTCTCTCAAGCTAAAGCTAGAACTAGCTATGACACACCTGTACAAGGTATAATTTTATTAATTTATTCTTAAATTAAATTATTTATGTAATTTAAATAATAATAATATTTAAACTATAAAATATTATAGAATATACTAATTTAAATTATATTAAGGGTTTGGTGATCAATTTATTTACTCCTTTGACAATCATTGTTGAAAGTAAAATCATTCATGGGTAATTTTATAACTCCTATTGTGAAGGTATTACTGGCTAGAATTTACATGTTCAATAATAAATATTTTATATATTTATTCTTAAATCAATTTAATTTATTTATATAATTAATAAATATAATATGGAGTAGGTTCTACTTACCTGTGTAAAACTCATTTAGTTTACACTTTTTATTTCCATTGGATTGGGAGAAATCAAAGGTCGAGATCAACTGTTTTTTAGGGAATATCTGTTCATTTCCACTGTTAATCTCAGTCTTTAATATATCATCCAATGTCCTAAAATGATTGTAAAAGTAGAAGAGTTTACACAGTATAATTGGTCCTGCCCCATGTAATAATATTAATTAAAATTATAAATTTAAATTATATTAATATATTTTAAGAAATGTACCCTTGACTCTATTAATCAATTCTTAGTTCTATAAAAATAATAATTATATATTTTTATATAATTATTCTTAAATTAATTTAATTTATTTCTATAATTTATAAATATAATAAGGAGTTGGATCTACTTGTACTGTGTAAAACACTTTTAGTTTTACACCTTTTTATTGCCATTGAATTGAGAGAAATCAAATGTTGAGATCAACTCGTTTTTTATTGAATATCTGTTCATTTTCCACGGTTAATCTCAGTCTTTAATTTCTCTCATCCAATGATCGTAAAATGATTGTAAAACTAAAGGGTTTTACACAGTGTAATTGGTCCAACCCCATGTAATAATATTAATATTTAAATTATAAATTTAAATATATTAATATTCTTAAGAAATGTACCCTTGACTCTATTAATCAATTCTTTGGATTATCAGGTTAGTTCCTTACCCAATCTTAGATCTGTTACGTTTTTCTTTTAATTTATACTTTTGTTAAATTATACATTGTGATGAATGCAATTGCGGTTGTGTTTCTTGATTTTTTTTGGGTTTTTTAAAAGTTTGTTTTATATTCTGATTATATTAGGGGTTTCGCTTTTTACCTAAATCTAATAAAATGTTGACATTTGGGTTTTCTTTTCTGATTACATGTTAGTGTTTTTTGAACCCGTTATTTCATTTGCAAAGGTTGTCGGCTCTGCATGTGACCAATTCCCTTTCATGTATGTATGGTTTGGTTTCTCTTTCTGTTTGCTTTCTAAGAAAAAATATGAAAAATAAAATTTAGGACATTGTATTTTATATATTTGCTTGTAAAAGTAGTTTCTATATATATGTCTACTTTTACAAACAAATATGTCTTCGTGCTCTATACTTTACCAATAAATATGTCTTCTTTTCTCTCTTTTTCCTATGGGAAATAATTTTTCTATGGAAATTGTAATGTAGGTTTGGGACTCGGAAAAGTGGCTCTTGTCGACATGTCTTTAAAGAATAAATTAATTCTTTTGTAGTTATGCAAATTGGTCCCTAAATGCAATTTTAGCTTCGGTTCTTTGCTCTACTGTAGGTTATTTCAACTTTCAAGAGAGCACATGCGGCAATTGAATTTTCATATCGATTTAATTTCTGAATTTGCAAGTATGCTGGAGATTCTGATGGCATATCGGGTTTAAGATTGAACAAGAAGTACGTCATGTTATACAAATGAAATACACTATACCTTTCTCAGCGTCTCATGGTAAGTAGTACATACATATCAGCTTAAGATTTGAAGTGTGTTAAGCATTATCCTTACACCTTTGGGATGTTCTTGTTTACTCTCTAGTCTAGGCTTGATGACAGTGACATCATTATGCTTTCCTTGACTACAAAATCCGCTTAAATGAATAAAGGATGCTACATGATTCATTTGGTTTCCTAACGACTCCTTAGAAACCTATAAAGCCAAACTTCAGAGTTGACTTTTTATTTGAAAAACAGAATGCTCTGTGACCTCAATACTATCCCTGATTGCAGGATATACTTTTCATGTGCTATTTCTGTTGCCGCCATTCTGAGAATCTTGAAGTTTACTTTGTGGTACCATGTCTTACATTACTGATATATCAAACTTGATTAACCATCTTGTTTAGGATGTCCAACTAAAGTTTAGCTGATAGGGCTGTTATGTCCATACTTCCTCAGCCAACACCTGAAAGTAAAAGGTACTCTTACTTTCTCATTATGTTAGTTTTCGTTTAGAATTTAAGTTCCGGGGAGATTCCGTTTTTCAAAGTCCCTTGACTCTTGTAGTGAGGTTTTCTGATCTCTAAGAACACTTGTGTTTCTATACTTCATTTCTTTACCTTTTATTCACACTTTAATGTTATTTCAGCAGCGAATATGCTCTCATGTGTTGCTCAATTCACTATAGAACTCTTGTAATATTTAGAGATGGCTTTATGATTTGTGGGAAATTTGAGGAAGCAAAGCTACCAGACGGTTTAAACACTGAAAAATGCCTTGTAACAAATAATGGAAGAAAAATAACTGCTGAAAGCTTGAAAAGACCATTTCGTATGCTTTAGTAATCCCAAGTGGCAAGTTTGAGTTATATAATTAAGTCTTCATTATTGTCTTTTGATATGATGCTAATAGTTAATAAGCTCTTTTATCTATCTTTGCACTGGCAGTAATAGGTATTTTTATCTGATGAAGTTCGACAAAAAAAATACGATTCAACAGAAGCCCTCATTTCCCACTCCACTCCCTTAGCTCATGAAATTGGTGCCAAAAGGGTTAGAAAAGGATCAATTAAACGTGCTTGGGAAGTAAAGTTGACTACAAGTTTGAAAAGTGAAAAAACCTCAAGTTGTAAGAAAAGATGAAAGTTTCTTTTAGCGGTGACGCAAAAAGTGGGTTGGCTGAAGATCAACAGCAGCAAGGAAATAGTAATGTCTTTAGAAAGACTAATGAAAAGGTTAATGGAGTCTCGCTGTTGGAATTTCAGATGGTCATGGTTCAACAGTAAAGATGTTGCCTTTAGCAAATGAAGCGACCTTGTGTAAATGTGAGAACGTTACAAATAAAACACAATGTTTTTGTCTTTCAATAGAAGATTGAGGTTCAGTATTTCCTGTCAAGTCTATGATACGACTAAAACTGCCCATCTTTTCAATCAAATTGATGAAGTTTATTTGCTAAACAAAATTGCAGGCTACAGGAGAGATGGTTAATTACTATGAAGGCAGACTTGTTCCTCAAGATTACAATGGTGGCTCTAAGGTAAAAGTGTTCATAACCTAATATGCTCTTTCAATACAGTTTTCATAATTTTAATATATAATAATGTTATTTTTTTAGGGCTCCTAATGTTTATTTTGAAAATGATAAGTGCTCCTGTTGTGAAAAATAAATTGCTCCTGTTGTGAACTCAAAGGTGCAACGTTGGGCTGTTTCGAAAAGAGTTGTCTTAAGAGTTTCCATGTTCCCCTTGCAAAATTAGTCTCACAATACCGGTGGCATATACTGTAAGTGATACACAGATTGGACAGTTTTTTGAACTTCATATGATTTTTTTAGGAAGTTAAAGACTACGTTCCTTGTTAACGAGTGTATATTTATTTTGGATTACAATAGGGCTGTTTTCTGGACTTCATATGATTTTTTGGGAAGTTAAAGACTACGTACCTTGTTAACTTTGTAATGTTGCGTCCTACCTAATGAAAAGTCAGAATCTCAAGGAAGTAGAAAAACAAGTGTTTTAAGAGGGTGTGCTGAAGTTTCATCCAGTTTATTCTAGCTTATTTACAAACTTCACCTTTTCACTCTCATGGAAATTTCATTAAGTTCTTGCTTCATTTGTAGTCATTTGCCAGTTCACAACAAGGAATATCCTACAAGCGAAGAAGTCAGTATGCAGAAGAACATGAATATTTGTGAATCGCTCGACAAATTGGTTCTCTGTTGCTCATCTCTCATAGTTGAAGAAAATGTAAGTGTCACAATCTATTGTCCTTGTGCTTTTTCTTTTTCGTTCACATTAGGAAATTCCTCGACATTTACTTGATATTATTTATTTAAATTAAATTAAAATATCATAAATTAATTTAATTTAATTTATCTTAAATTAAATTAATTTTTTATATAATTTATCAATATAATAATAATTAAATTATAAATTATAAAATATCATAAGAATATATTAATTTAAATTATATTAAATATTCTTAAATTAAATTATTCTAATATTATTTAAATATTATTATATAATTTATTCTTAAATTAAATTAATTTATTCTCATTTTCTGTATCGTTGGGTTTATTTCTTGAGGAGACTGACATTGAAGATTTAATGCAGAAATCCAAAGGTGAGGAGACTGGCGAGCACACTCTAGCAATGGTTAAGGTAGAGAAAGGACTAGAATCACCACTTCACAATGAGAAATAGTTGTCTATCCAGCTAAAGCTAGAACTAGCATATGACACAAACCTGTACAAGGTATAATTTATTAATTTATTCTTAAATTAAATTATTTATATAATTTATAAATATTATAATAATATTTAAACTATAAACTATAAAATATTTTAAGAATATACTAATTTAAATTATATCAAGGGTTTGGTGATCAATTTTATTCACTCCTTTTGACTATCACTGTTGAAAGTAAAATCATTCATGAGCAAGTTTATAACTCCTATTGTGAAGGTATTATTGGCTAATATTTACATGTTCAATATTTTGCAGCAAGCTTTCTTGTTATTTATGTTATTTTTTTTTCGCACAGGCTTCTCACCTGGTCAACAATACGAAGGAAGAGATACCGTTTTATTCCATGCCGGATTACCATTCTTGGAAGGAAAGTTTGGATGGTAATACAAAGGGCTAGATCATTAAGTACCGATTTTTGTTTCTATCCTTTTATTTTTTTATTCTACATATATGAAATATAATATTTAAACTATAAACTATAAATATTTTAAGAATATACTATTTAAATTATATCAAGGGTTTGGTGATCAATTTTATTCACTCCTTTTGACTATCACTGTTGAAAGTAAAATCATTCATGAGTAAGTTTATAACTCCTATTGTGAAGGTATTATTGGCTAATATTTACATGTTCAATATTTTGCAGCAAGCTTTCTTGTTATTTATGTTTTTTTTTTTCGCACAGGCTTCTCACCTGGTTAACAATACGAAGGAGAGATACCGTTTTATTCCATGCCGGAGTACCATTCTTGGAAGGAAAGTTTGGATGGTAATACAAAGGGCTAGATCATTAAGTACTGATTTTTGTTTCTATCCTTTTATGTATTTTTTATTCTGCATATATGAAATGAATATGCTTTGTTTCTATATTTAGGCAAAAGAAATGAAAAATGATGCTTTGTTCTATCCTATCATGATCCTTGATATGTGTATATTTAGAGAAAACATAGAAAGACTATGAGGGAGAAATGCTGTCTTTCCACATATTTCATCTATCTTTTCTTGTACAGGTGTGCCTATGAAAGCATGCAAGCTGGTTGTACCAGATTAAACATTTAGGAATCACACAACTAACAACTCTAACCAGTCCAATGAGTCTACCTTGCTACTGCATCACACATTGAATTGGAGCTGCAGATAACTCCATTGAATCTAGTGGCAATTTTGTTGCATGCACAAGCCAGGTAAAATGTTACTTCCACTAAAAAGAAAGCACTAATTTTTTTGCTTTTCAAATAGGCTATAAATCAACAAAATCACATATTTTGAAGCTGACATTTCCAATCATATTCTATAAAATTATATATAATTCTTAAATTAAATTTAGACAATTCTAATATTATTTAATTTTTTTATAAGCATTTTCCGTATATTGCTTATAGCATTTTGATTTGTTTCCCTATCGAATGGTTTTCAAACTTCGATTTATTAATTTATTCTTAAATTAATTTAAATTATATATATAATTTATTAAAATCATAATATTATTTTAAATTATAAATTATTATATATTTGGTTTTTGGGGATTAAAATTGTTTGTGCTTGAAATGCTCTCGCTTAATATATGGGCTTTGTTATTAGTCTTAATTTACTTTTAGACTGAAACCTTAATTAATGGCATGCAATTGCTTGTTCTTTCTGAGATTTTTCATAGTTCCTATGCTGTTTCCGCCCAATTTTCGTAAAACTTGATTGTTGTGTAAAGTTCGTTAGAGGAGTAAAGTTTCTAGGTAGTTGAGGATTTGATCGACTACTGATATGTAATTTGAAGCTGAGTGTTATATTTTTTTCAGGATGGTCATAATTCGGACAAATCAAAGGAAAACACTGCTGATTTAACTGTTTTTGTGAGTTCCTAACCTTTTCTTTGTAAGATGAAAGAACTGCTTTTTAAGTATGATGTTTATGCTTGTACCATGGCGTTATAATCACTGTTAACATTGCCCTTGTCGGATATACTCTCAATGGATTTTTTTTATAGAAGTAGGATGCCTCATTAAAAACCTCCCTCTTAGTTGGCTCTTGAATAGAGGCAACTAGCGGAAGGAGTAAAATAGTACCTCATTTTATTCATAAGTCAATAATTACATAAGACTACACCATTACACTTTAAACAACCATAAACAAAACCCAATTAGTACATCTAAAAAAACCCAAAAACATTCAGCCAATTCCCCTTAGCTAATTTATTTTCCTCCCAATTACAGCTCCTAGGAATCTCTAATTATAATCTCCTTAGTAGAAACTAAGGACCCAATTTCCCCAACCAAAGAACTGAAAAAAGAAGTAGAAAATGGCAACAAAATCCAGTCAACTGCAGACTTGCAGTCACTCTCTATGTCAATCTTCCCTTCAATGCCCAAGAAGATGAAAGAAAAAAATCAATTCATTTTTAATTGCTTTAAACTCAGATAAAGGAGGAGGACATGGACCAAATCATTGGAGAAAGTGGCTAAAGTATAGCTATTATAATCTTTCAAAATTCCTCCAATTCCATCCAGCAGCCCATCATTTCTTACGCCCCCTTCACATAAATTTTAAAAAACATAGCTGGAGGAGAAGCCAACACTGGATCTTCTTTCTCTTAAAGATAGTAAGAAGTCTGTCACATAGAGAGGTCCCCAAATAGTAAATCAACACAGGAACTTAGCTAGAAACCATTTCGCCATCCTAAATTTAGAAATAAAGAAGAGAGAAGAATTCGAGTTTCCAATTATCAAACCACCGAATTCCTAGCCTTCCATATTGACCACAATACAACTCCCGGTATAAACCTCAAATTGAAGAATAAGCCCTTAAATCAGACCAAGATGTCCCATAACCTTATAAATTTATTCCACAACTCCGTGCAACAGAGCATGAAATGAATAGGTGCTGGATAGTTTCTTCATGCTTATGACATTATGGACAAAGAACATCCTCCAAGGGAACCCCCCTTTTCTGCAACTCTACTCTAACTACAGGTTTTGGTGGGAGATCTGTCAAAGAAAGGTTTCGACTCTGGGAGGAGCCAAACCTGACCACACCCACTTGTTCCAAGTGAAAGTACCTCCAGATTTACAAGATAAAGTCACATGCAGAACTTAGCCGAGAACAAACCATACCCTTCCACGACCATGAAAGAAAGTTATCCACTGAATCGGACAAAATTATCTTATCGAGCAAAGACATTAAAGCAACCACTGATCTAATTCCCAATCGCATAAATTCCTTCTCGACTTTTTAGATAAAGCCACTTTACCCCATTTATTATTAGATAAAGCAAAAATCCTGGGAATGGTTTTTTAAGGTTGAATCATTAACCCAAACATAATTCCAGAAGGATATTGACTTACCATTCCCCACTTGGATCTTCGAATGTGACCTCAAACACTTTCTGATCTCGTCATTTTTTTTATAGAAGTTAGAGGTCTCATTAAAAACTCTTCATATTCGTTCCCATACTAAAAGTATGTTAACAAACATTGGAAGGAAGAAAAGCACCTCATAATTTATTAATAATAATACCCGATACAAAAGACACCACGAAATATCCTCTCATGGTGATACCCCATTACAACAAACACCTAAACCTCAAATAACCCTTATCCAAGCCACGATCAAATCACATACTTCTAATTACACCACCGCAATAGGACTAAAACAACGCCATATAGACTAAAACAACACGAATGAAGAGACAAAATCTAGACTCGTCTTTTTCAGGAGCCCAAGAATTTGTTTGAATGAAGGCTATATCTCATGCACCATGACCTTGAAGAAGTTGTCACCAACCTTCAATTCAGCCATCGTGTCAATTTTCGCATTAGCCTTTGTGAGGACTTGAATTTTTGTCCGATCAAAGATGGAGATTGACAACTTTTGTCGATAGCTAGTAAAGACCCCCTTATCCGCAATGTTCTTGAAAGTATCCCAGTTCATGCATGAAAAACACCATCGCAAACTAACCATACTCGACGACACTCTCCATTACCAAAACTCTCTAACCAAACTTCGACTATGGAGAACCACTCTATGAGAATCTTTGATTTGTCGTTTTCACACTTCTCAATGAAGTTATCTTCGAAAATCATTAAAATCGCATTTCTAGCTGCTCTCATTTAGGTGAAGCCAATGAGGCCCTTCGCTGCATTTGTCTAGCGAGATGACCAATTTTGACAAAATCCTACGCCACCGCACTAGACAATTGCTCAACCCTGAGTTTTCTTCATCTATAACACCTTCAACTTTATAATGATTCTTCTCGAATAATCTTCCATCCCGGACTTTTGAAGAACATTTGTCGAAGACTTCTTCAATAGGAATTTCGAGGTTTGAATTTAGCGAAAAAACCAAATTTTGCTACCGTCGATACGAGATCCATTCATTTTTGAGATCGTTCTCCTTGCTTCTTCTAATGATGCGAAGCGAATAAAACCAAAACGATCTCCTTTAAATTCCTTTTATTAGGAAAAAAGCATCAAGTATCCGCCCTTTGTGATCGACTCCTAGATCCTTCTTGTACACCATTAACAGCAGATTTACCATCACAACTCACGCTTTAACAGGAACCTGAACACTAGGAGATGCTACAAAAGCTGAATTGGCAATGGCAGAATTGGAGGAACAAGAAAACCTCCATCCTTGTCAAATGCAACAGAATTTGTAACTACTCTTTAACAGCAAGATTCTTCCTTGCCATCTCAATGTGCAAAGGGACCTCAACTTAACGTCAAAACCATTTTCTGAAGGACATCCTTAGCAGACTGCAAAATTACAGTTGAGAAGAGCGAAGCCTTTGGAAGACACATCTCAGAATGCGAATCTTTAAAACCGGAAAGCCATCTCAGAAAATTCTGCAGCTCTCTCTTTGATATCTTCAGGTAGACCATAATGAAATAGTGCGAACCTCATCATGATGAGAAGGGTGAGATGGCAGAGAATGCGCTGCTGCAGAGGGTGGAGGAACTTGGACCGAAGGACTCTGCTAGAGAGAAGGGAGACTCCAGCACCCGGCATGGACTGTTGATATGAAAAACCCAAATTTGACGAACTAATCTGGCACGCCTGCGAAGGAGAAGCGACAGATGGATTCGAATGAAAACGGAGATAAGATCTATAAACAAGAGAGAAGCAGGAGCTTTGTCTTTTAATACATCCTGCTAGAAAAGTATACTGAGTTTACGTATCACCCCTAGAAATAAAGTTCCAGAACAAGAGCTCAAAGCTTCAACAGCAGGACGAAATCCACCAAAAGAGTCATGCAGAAATTAAAGAGTAGCGAGCGCCTGATCTTGTCGAAACTGCTCAGTGCAATATAATGGAGAGATGCAACTAATCTCGACACTAAGTAATGGTTATGATCGCAAAAAGGCTCTGAATACAGTGGAGATGCGATGTCCG